TGATGGTCTGTTGTGGGATCTATTGCAGCCATCACAGACAGATTCAATTCTAGAAAATGGTGTCACTGTAAAATATATGGTTTGGACAGATGCCACCCAGTATTGATGAATTCCTTTGCCCCCCACCAGTGGGATTTGATCCTGAACAACACATTGATTCTGACAGGTATAAAGCAGCACCTGCATGGCCACGTTAAGGCATCCTCAGGCCCATATATTTACCACAGCTTGAGGAGTGACTCTCTGCATGGGTATAACCTCTGATGTCTTGTCAAGGTCAAATGAATCACCTAATAACAGCAATGCAGAGACGCAAACAACGCAGACACAAGTCAGCGGGTGATCATCAGTCCCACAGAATTTGACATATTCGAGCCAAATGTGGACACACATGGCGCGGCGTCGTCAAAAACGGAGGATTAATGAGCGACGCTCACCGTCAATGTTGCGGCGAAATCAGCATCTGTCAGGTGATGAGGTGAAAGCTGACGCTCGTCTCTATCAAGTCAATTCAAAATTGTATTTTATTTTTTGGGAGGGAGGATGGGGGGGTTATCGCTGGTTACTGGAGCGATTCACGACAAACCATTTAATCGTTACAGAGAAACAAACGCACATCTAAAACGGTGAAATTGCAAAAAATGCTTACAAGACCGTCACTCTTACCTTGTGTGTTGTGCAGAACGGGTTACAACGTCCGAGTCTGTGTATGAATCCAAAGTGATGTTCGGTATCTTCATTCAGGCACTGGCTCCGTGTGCAACATCTCTGCGCTCAAAGGGATGCGATATCACACAGCTTCCAGTCACACAGGGCGCATAGTGCGTAAAGTCTGACGCAGGAGCTCAACGCTTGCCACAAGTTTGCTTTACTGTAATCACATTAACTGGAGCAGGTAATGGCTTATTGCAACTGTTTATCTCACTCCGGCGGTTCAGCGATGTTCTGCAGCTCTGCTAAAAGAGCAGCTGCTCGCACCTCTGGTCTCTGGTTTCCACGTGGTTATGGCTGTGTTGTGGGATAAATCAGCTCCCCATAGGATGAAGAAATTACTATGGAAAGTCACTCACGACGAAGTCTGACGCAGGTTTGACTCACCCGCTCGTGCGCACGTCAGCAGTTGATCTTAAAAAAAACAACTACATCTGCAGTGTTCACAGGACGGTAATAAGGGCGTCACACAGGTAGCCTGCAATCAGAATGCATCAAACTAATGACTTGTATACTGATTGTGCAAAGGGTGTTTGGGTTGAACAAAATGCTTCCCCAGCAGCCTTAATGAAAACTGAATGACGATTATTATTATTATTATTACTACTACTAATTTATGCAGAATTAATACAAGAAATTAACATCTCAGTTTCCCCACATTGCTTTTTATGCTGGAAGCATAAGCATATGGAAGCTACCTTGACACAGTTTACCTCCATTACAGAGGAGGTGCCAGATGTTAATACCTAATAGACATGTCAGACTGTGCTGTTGTGCCCACAGTAATGTAACAGGCGTAAAAAGACAGTGCTTCCTAATGGACGTTTCTCAAGTGCAAATAATTTGTGGCACAGTCATTTTTCTCTCTGACACCAGCAATTTATTCTGCCCTTGGCTCTGTCTGCCATGGCTCCACACTCCATATTTCTTCTCCTGGCTCTCTGGGTAGCTTTTTATTTTCACAAAATAGACAACAGAGAAGTTTGCATGAGCTTGTTTTTGCTATTTTGGTATGTAATTGTTTTCCCAAATGATAATTATTTAGACAACTCAAAGGTGAGATTTCGCAACTCAGACCATCGTTTAATTCAGAGTGTCAGGTGTTTCAGAGAGCAGCTCATGGCAAACAACGACACAGATCCTGTTTGAGGGGTTAGAGTATTTTGAGCTTGAATGTGTTACTAATGTGTCAGACACTGAAAGATATCCAGAGTGACAGTTTGCTTTTCTACTGATAACATGGGGACTGTCATCAGAGCATAGTAGCCCAAAGTTTGTGAGTTTCACAAAGTGTTAGTGTCAGATTTTGTTGTTGTTGTTGTTGTTTCATCGTGTCCGACTCTGTAAAAAAGAATCCCAAAACATATAGGACATCCCAACCCTGCTGTAGGTACTAACCCCGGGGCAATCCTCAGCTTCCATCACAAGACGCCCCCAAAACACACAATCCCTCCCTTCCTCCCAACTCACGCACCCACACAAGTAATTCTGCATCAACTGACAACATATATGCACAGTATTCTGTCTCCTTCAATTCACTCATGTGACTCACTTTCCAAGGGCTGACTGCTGGGATCAGTTGCCATGGCAACCACCGATCATATGATGGTTACTCACCCTGTGAGCATTTTTCTTTTCTTTTCTAGTCCCCCCCCACCCCTCCTCCCTTCTCCAGCACCTACTGGTGTTCTGCAGTACAGCTGTGAATGAGCCACTGAAATAAAGTCCAAAGCACAACTTATCACTGGGTCGGTTTTCCTGCCTGTGCTTCATCGCTGCTGATATGTGACTCAACTCGCAAAAACACGTAGTTTATCACACCTCTAAATTATGCAACATGAGACACAATGTGTCCTGTGTCCTGATCGTAGCTAGAATCCTGCTGCAGTATTACTCACTTTAAAGCCTCATGAATAACCGCAGATCAGAATTGTCAGAGAGGTGGCACTGGATGAGGGCCTGTGGATAGGGAAAAAAAACAAACATATTTAATGTCTGATAAATGGTGCCACACGAGAAATTTCACTCACAGTACAATAAAGCTCTCCATCACTACAGCTCTGACCTGAAACATCTTGACCTTGAGCTGAGTGATTTTATTTTTATTCGTCTCACACAGCAGAGTGTATATGTAGAGGGAGAAGCTGCAGTGAGGCCTGTGGATTCAGCCTCAATATTTCACATGTTGTTAAATTGGAGCACAGAATGGAGGGGTAATGAGCCACCAGACTGGGCTGTGATTTACTGGGCATATTAAGACCATCTATAAGGGCTTAGTTCTGTGAAGTTGGACAGCTAAAGACCCGGTAAATAGAGAAGAGACAGACAGCACACTGAGTCTGACATCAGTCATATCTATTAATATAATCCAAGAGTGCACCATCAAATATTATTTCTGGATGTGAAAACTGACATTGGAACAGGTGGGAGATAACATGTGCCATGAGATTGCTCAAAGGGATTCAATGTTATTCTTCAGCTTGGAGGAAACTTGTGAATGGTAGATATGTTTATATATCCGATAATATTGTGAGAATCCTATTCACCATCAGTGGATGGCCCTTATCTCCAGCCTCAGGAGAGCCAGGTTGCCAGGTCACAAGTTACTGACGAACACCGGCGGCCTAAATCTGATCCGTGTCTCGGGGGGTGTTTCTGTGCAGCTGAGCCTCATCAGCACTCACAATTCACCTTCCTCTCTCTGCTCCCCCCATCTTTGCCTGATTATTGGTGCAGTCCCAACTCTGTCAATGTACTGACACCTTTGCCTACTCCCTTCTGGGTGTGAGAGTGCTGCCATAGGAAAGAGATGGGCAAAAAGAGGAGGGAGAGATGCTTCAGCCAGTTCCCTGACTGACTGACTACCTGCTGCTTTTCTGTCCATGAATAAAAAAAAAGACAAGGCTGCAGGGCAGTTGTAACCACACTGGCTCAACTGTCCTGATGCAACAGCACTGAAAAGGTGGTTCTTTGTTCACTAAAACTGACTATATGCACTATAATGTTGCCGGACAGATATCTCATTAAGTATTCCTCCACTGCCCTTTGCCTGTTTCCCTTTAATCTCCCATCCCTGCTGTTCTAGTGACAAGAGGTTCATTAGTACTCTGGTAAAGCTTCACTCTTCTTCCATAGATAAAGAAACATACAAAAAAGTCACGACCGTGAGAGGTGAAGCGGAGTATCGACACCTGTGATGAATGTGCAGTGGCAAAATCAATGGCAGAGATTTGGCCTTGAGACCATGTAATAAACATAAAGTTAAGGTGATGACTCATGATGGCTGTGATGTTTCAACGTGAGAAACCATAAAGAGTTTCTCTATAGACAACAGACAGCATTTAGGTGTGGTTTAATAGCCACTGAATTTGAGACTGAGGAGGAGTATGAAGAGGTCTGGCCTTCACCCACAAGAATAGACAGTAAAACTGTTTGATAACTCTATGCAGGGAGAGTGAATTTACAACAGAAATAGCTTTTATGAGCTCGGAGAGCTGACACTTAGTCTGTTAACATTTGAGGCAAATAAAACTACAAAACTATTTCAGCATTCAAACATGTGGCAGAAACTTCATATGTATGTAGAAATATATCATTTGTCCATCACATTCACGGCCCCTCTTCATATTGTCCTATTCATTATTCATTTAAAATGAAAAGACTGCTTTGTAGAGGTTGAGTTCTGTAATGATGATGGTTATTATAAGGGCTTGTTCAAATTGAGAATAAATACAGCACTGCAAACCACTCATGCTAAATTCCTCCATTAGTGCCTTATGCCCTTTGGTTGTCAATATAGCATGTGTGTGTGGGTGTGTGAGGAGAGGGGGCTGCTGGAAATAGATCAGACAACTTATCATGCAGGATTACCACATCACTGATCACTCTATTCTCTGAAGAATATGTGATGCAATTATTGTGCTGTGTCTTCGTAGCAATTGATATTATAGTACAATATACGGCCTGATTGTGTATTTCATTTGCAAAAGGCAGAAACAAATTGGAAAGTTTCATTTCCTGGGAGCATAATAAACAAATTGTGAAATGAAATGTCACAATTCTTGTTTTTAGTTTGCAGTGCTTCCACCAGCCGCCTTAACAAATTATGTGTTAATTGGTCATTTTCATACAGTGTAACAAGCTGTAAAGGTCATAGTGTAAAGTAAGGCTCAGAGAGGGTTAATGTCCTCCCTGTAGATTTTGGTGATATAGTGTGAACACTGGCCCTCCTTGTCCTGCCCTCCATTATACCAGATGGCTGCTCAGAGCCCTGCTGTTCGAGGCTGTAGAGTAAAGAAATACGCAAACAGTCAAGACTTCCTGCTAGCTCGTATAGATCAATGTGCATTCATCCTCATCGTGCATAATGAAAACTCGTTGAGCCTTGTTGATATTAATAGGCATGAGCTGGTTTGCCTGGATGGAAACAACACAACAATTAAGAGAGCTGTTCCTGTTAATAACAAAATGTGAACTCACATCATTTATAGTTCTGATTATAGTTCTTGCTTTATTACGCAGTATGGATACATATACAACTCTGAATATCTCAGCAGTGAGGTATATCTGTGACCAGAGGACCGTTTTTTAAACACAGTGACATGATATACCTAAACCCCAGAGACCCAGTCAGTGGCCTGTGAAAACTCCACCTCAGACTGTGGACACTTCTCTGCCACCTCACGATGACTAATCCATGGCGAGTGGTGCCAGGAGGGCACTACAGCGCTTAAAGAAACAGAGCATACACCGTCTTTTATGTAACGACATAAAAGACCGTGAACAAAATGTTTGCACTCCGGCTGTTATGACCCTGTCAGCTGCATTCTTGTCATAAATGTGCACTCACCGGGGACGACCAGGTTAGGTTTTTGTGTATGTGTGTATGTTGTGGGTGTATATTTGTGTGTGCATTTTATGGCTGTATTAACCAATCTCCCTGCTTTTCTACCGTCTCTGTCTTTTGGTTAACCAGCCTCAACCACAGCAGATGCTGCAGTGCCATTAAGAAAAGGGGAGGTAATGAGGTCTTTCTTTGTCATACTTTTGTAAAACCCATGTTACAACCAGAGCAGTTCCACTAACATCCTATTAATTAAATTTCCATAATTGGCCCCACTGTGCCGCCACTACAATGGATGTAAAGTGAAATTTAAATAACACAACATGCCATATCTGTATTAGGAATCCAATCTTGGATAACATTATTTCACTCAGCTATA